CCTTCCCTGGCAGGGCCTGGAAGGTTTTAGCTCCTGGTGGAGACTTGTCGCCGTTCAGGATCCCCCCTTGACTCGTGCTGGCTCCTGATAGCCCTTCCTGCGGGAGCAGCTCCGCGGATCCACAGCAGCTGCTCGGAGCCGGGCCCCGCGGGACCCCCTTGGCTGTGGCTGTGGTGCTTGTTGCTCAAGCAGCTGCTTGGTCCTAGAGGACCGGCGGCCCGAAGCATCCTGTGTGCTGCTGTTTGCACCTGCAGAAATTAAAATCGCCACGAGGGCAGCCTTGGAAGTCCTATCTGGGCACTTTCCAGGTAGGCGAAACTTGATGTCACTGCTAATGACTTTCTGCGATGCTCTGGGAAGAGCTGCAGTTTAGGGAGGGGAAGAAAGGCAGGGAGGCCTTGGATGTGGGTTCGTGGGGAAGGTGTTGGCCCAGCACCCATCAGGTGCAAGGTTTGGCAGGGGCTCCCGCAAGACGTCCCTCCGGGATCGCGACCTGGGCGTTGTGCGTAAACAGGATACGGGAGGAATTTGGCCTGATCATCACTGACTCTCGTTCCTCCCTGAAATGGGAAGCCAGGCTGCACGGCTGTGACATCTGCTCCCACTTAAGAGGCATGGGAGAAAGGGACAACTAGAGTGGAAGAGGACAGAGAAGCTAATGCTAGTTGGCTGTGGATATTTTATTTATTTTGTCTTCTAGTAGTGCTTGAATGTATAAAATGGCTTATGGAAAGCTGCTTTGAAGCTGGGGAGAAGTTGTTTTCTGAAGAGAACGCAAACTTTTCTGCAGCTCTTCGCAGACTCACTACATGTGTAAACTAAATACTGAAGTGGGACGTGCAGGCAACCACGTTCTGCAGCATTCAGCCTCTGAAAAATCAGGTTTTTTTCTTCCTGTTAATGTGCTGGGGTTAAGATGTTCTACCACAGGTTCCTAGGGCAGTGCCAGGTTTTTTTGGGCTTCCCTGGAAGGAGGACAAGTGAATTTCTACCTAAACACAGAGTTTATGGGTTGTTGGCTTGCTGCTGAGCTGACATTGTTCTTTGGGCAACCCGAGATTGCCGTGAGCAATTTGAATAGTGACAACAGTGTGTCAGTTATTAAAGATGGATGATTTTTTTTTTGTTTTACTTACTGGTAAGTAACTATCAGTCTTAGTGCTCTGCTAAGCAGCTCTGTGTTTAGACTCAGCTTCCCTTCTGAAATGTCTCTCTTTTTTAATTTTTGTTTTTCTTTTGCAACTGCAAGTCCCAATGTGTGAGCATGCTGCCATAACGGGGAACTGTGGGGGCTTAGGAAATACACAGGTTACTTGGAAATCGGTTTCAGTGCAGTTTCATGAGAAACAGCAGTGGTGAGGGCTTGAAGGAAGATCTTACTCAGACTTTAAGACCAGCCTTCCACGATGGTGGTTTTCTGTGCGCAGGGCCAGAGCCTGAGCTTCTTGCCTCAAATCTGCCCTCTAAAAGCTCTTTGTAGCTCCCTGGAAGGAGCACAGCTCATTCCATACTGGTGAAATATTACTGTGTTTTACCACATCTTAGCTGCCTTACAACAGTGCTTTAGCTGATTTTATGACAGTGTTTTAGTTTTTTAACTCTTGCTGTGGAAGCACCGATATTAAGTTTTCTTTTCTTAAATATCCTGGTTCTAATTCCTTTGCCTTGGTGTTCATTCTAGTACTAAGAATGTTTTTGTGTTTGTGTATGTGTGTTCATAGAGTAGTACTGGTGTTTCCTGAAAGAAGATTAAAGGGTTAACATGCAGGTTAAAGGTTCCATAAATGCTTTGTGAAGTTATAGGATCTGCTTTTTGTGAATCATAATTTGCAGGCTAAATTTAAATTTATTCTTTTTTTTAATTGCATAAAATCATTACCTAATTAAAAATGACCCTTAGTTCACTTGTTGAACCATGCACCGTTAACGCCTGTGGGGTCTGGGCTTTTACCCCGCTCACCCGTTTGCTGCTGGGCCCTTGAACTGTCCAGGAAATGTTTCCAACAGCAGCCAAGTGCTTTGTGCTCTCCGGGCAGGCTGCTCTGGGGCTGGCACGGGCGCTAAAGCTTTACCCAGTCCTTGGCAGCGGGAAACTTGAATATAGTGGGTGGTGTTTTTTTTTTTTTCTCTATTTTCACTGTTTTGAGACTGCCTCATTGGTTGTGCTTAAAAGAAGCCATCTACTAACAGCCACCACAGAACGTTTAATTTTCCTCTGCTGTCAGATTTCCAAGGAGTTCCGAGGCCATGTGCATCCACTTGCCTTTTTTTTTTTTTTTTCCTTTCTGACTTTCCTCAGTCTGAGGTTACTTTTCTGGATTTCTTCATTTCTGCTGTTAAATGTATTTTCTTAAATACATCTTTACATCTCTTAATAGGATAATATTACTGCACATAAGTTTCCTCCTATTAGTGACATCCTAAATAGCCTCATTTAGGCTGCAACTTAGTGTAACATTAAATTTAATTGAATTTTCAGGCATCTGGTTAATTCAGTGGTATTAAGTGACTGAAAACTATTCCAGTATTTAATCTAACACTCAGAGCTGCTGCGAACACTTCATTTAGGTTTGCAGCCAAAATCTGTAAATAAAATTGATGCTTTGGCTCTTGTAGTTCTGTTTCTCCAGCTTTTCCACTCTTGCTAAAACAGAAGTAATTCTACCTCTTAATGACAAGACAGTCCCACTGGACTGGGATAAATCTCTTCAAAATTACTGTAATTTAAAATTTGATTTAAATAGCTGAAGGATAGATTTGCTTTTAAAAAGATGGTTTGTCTCAGGTGTTTAGGTCCTTGTGTCCCAGTTCCTCATTGGAATAGGAGGAAGCAGAACAATCTGCTGAAGTTTATGTTCTTCTAAATAAATGTTCACGCAGTTCTGCAGGAGCAGAGGGTCTTGGAGTTTCGTATAAAATAGGTCTTCAACGTGGGGTTATAAGATTAGTTTGTTAAACTTGTAACCCTTATTCTGGACAAATAATTCTCCAAAGTGGTAGTGTGTTTTGGCTGTAGTGATGTTAATTGCAGTGCTAAATACCCTACACAGACTCTTGTTCTTATCCAAGTTCGGGCTCTGAAAGATCCAAGTTCGGGCTCTGAAAGAGAAAACACTGGATTTTCCTGCCAGGCCCGAGGAGGAGATGGTTTGTATGTGTTTTATATTGCAGAATACCCTGATGTAACGTGCACCTACATGCTGGGCTGTTGGGGAGTAGTTAGGTGTAGTTATAGTGATGCTCTGGAAGCTAAGGGTGAGTAGAACCACGCTGGTCTACGAGCACCTGCTCCTTGTTTTTGGTTTGTGTCCCTGATCGAGGTTGCTAAGAGTAAGATGGTGAATTTAGGAGTCGAAAAATACCACACTTGCTTAGGAGAGGAAGAAGAAAGCAGGCAAGTATGGGTGCTAAGTCTTTAATTACTTGAAAGTGGTGTGAAGGCACCCAGAAGTATCTGTTGGATAAGTCTCAAGTCTTGGCAAAACTAATTATGTTTGGAAATTACTTTCACTCCAGTAAAACTGTCTTGTAAAATAACTTCAGAAGTGAGGCTGGAAAAAATCTCTGGGTAACTTCTTGAAAATGCTAGCGCTGTTCTGAAAAATAGTTCAAACAATTTCCCAAAATGAATTTGCAGGTAATAGAAAACAATGAGCAAAAGCTGCAGAGATCTGCAGTACACTTGGTATTGCCTGACTGCTTTTCTTTCTCATATTTTCTCTGTAATAGTGACCACATGGAAAATATTTATGGCTACTTAATGAAATACACCAATCTCGTCACGGGCTGGCAGTATCGGTAAGTTTGTGTTTGCTTGTTTATTTTTTAAAAACACGATCCATTACTGGTGACAGCAGCGTGTCTCAGGCCAGGGTGTGCTGCAAGTCTGGGCACCCTGCCACCCGCTTCTTAACCAGCAGGTGACAGCTGCCCTGCCTCTGCTTGCCCTGTGTCCCTGCAGGTTCTTCGTGCTCAACAACGACGCCGGCCTGCTGGAGTACTTCGTGAACGAGCAGTCCCGCCACCTGAAGCCCCGGGGCACCTTGCAGCTGGCTGGGGCTGTCATCTCGCCCAGCGACGAGGACTCTCACACCTTCACGGTCAACGCTGCCAGCGGGGAGCAGTACAAACTAAGAGGTAGCCCTGCAGGCCCCAGGCAGGGGACTCTGCCGCTAGAGGACACCCCTGTCCCTCACCCGTGGCTTCAGTTCTGGGTCTGTCTGTGTGTCTGTCTGTTATCCAGAGCAGAAAATACTGCACAGACAGCTGCAATGAGTGCTATGGGTGAAGCTGTCATCGCATCCTTAGTGAAGAACCATTCTTTTCTTTCATTCCTTACTTCATGAGTTTGATGATTTTTTTTTCTGAAGTCTCTGAACTTAGTATGAATAGTGCATGGGGCTTAACCTGCATGTATAGTGGCCTTAAATTGTGCTTTTTTCAGAGCTTTTCAAATTAACTTATGTAACAGTGCTGCGTTAATGCTAGTAGAGGAATACAGTAGTCCTAATATTAACACACTAGCTTTTTTCTGTTGTTGGTTATAGAAGCCTATTCCCTGGTTTCTTAGACAACAGAAATCAAGGATAATATCTTGAGCATGCCTTTCCTTGGAGGCTTGCTGTCTCATTTTTCTCTTCTGGGTACCTTATTTGTCTACCAGGAAAATATGCATTAGGCAGTTGAATTAAAAATGTGGCGAGAAATTTGTTGATGCTTTTTTGTCACTAAGTTTTACCACCAAAAAAAGTGCATGCTGTTTATTTTGAACTTGATTTAATATTGTAACTAAATACGGTTTATTTGAACAATTTTCAGATGGAATGTTCTGTAATCTTAAAGTCCTTTCTCTCTTTTAAAGAATTAAGCAATCTTTTGTTCATATTTTGTGTTGTCTTTTACATAATGCTTTTGGTTTGCTTTCATTAGCCACTGATGCGAAAGAGAGGCAGCACTGGGTTAGCAGGCTCCAGATCTGCACGCAGCATCACACGGAAGCTATTGGCAAGGTTGGTAGCACTCGTGTTTCCTTGGGCAAAAATAAGTTAGGCTGATGGTAAAAACAGACCTACATCTAGGTTAAAGTACTGCTGAAGGAGACTAGCTGGGCTTGAACTTCATGGCAAGAAACATCCCTCTGAATAACCACAGGCTTGTTAGGGAAATATGATTTAATAATGAAGTCACTGTTGCTCCTGGAGAGCTGAATGGATCTCCTGGTACTCATGAGCACTCATGAGGGTGTGGATAAAACAACAGGTGGAGCTAAAAGAGCAGAGTAATAGTTCAGTGGTTGTTTTGTATTTTCCTAGCAGATAATGGAATAGTCTTTACTACTACCAAAGCCCTTCCCTGGCTTGGGAACTTTACTTTTCTCTTACTAGCTGTTAAACCCATTCAGAAGTCTGCAATATGTTTCAGATGAATTCAGTTTTTAGTTCTACTGCAGATCAAGTGCTAACCTTCAAATCAGATGAAGTGTTACATACTGTCTGTCACATTTCATAGTTTGATTGTAATCACTCTGTAAAGCCCGACAACTATCTGCAGATAGTGCAAAACACTTATTTATCAATTGCTACCAATACATTACTCAGGATCATAATCTGTCGCTTGCTTTATAAAAATTAAGGGAATTCTGCTGTTTGGCTCAAGATAGAATATTTGCTGGGTATTAGGAATTAATTGTAAATGTTTCTTAATATGCTTATTTATTCACTAGAACAACCCTCCTCTGAAATCTCGCAGCTTCTCTCTCGCATCCCAAGGAAGCTGCAACTCTCCTGGTGTGCAAAGACGACCCAGCCAAAATGCAATTTCTTTTTTTAATGTTGGACATCACAGATCGTCATCTGGAAAAAGAGTTCCTATCCTGCAGCCAGATCACCTTGTAGATGTTAGAGAGGTTCGTATGCCTTAAGTAATCTTTTGGAAGAACTGTAATATTGTTTTAGGATGGTGGAGGAACCTGCTACTCCTAGCTGGACTTACTGTTGTGCACATGTCCTATATTACTATTGCAGAGCTGTAGGAGTATGCAGAGTGTGTTCTTTGGCTTCTCTGTGCTCTGCAATAATATCCTGACACTCAAGGCAGAACTCTGCTTTTTTTTGACCCTTGCACATTCTAGGCCTACATCTAGCAATGACATACCCTATAACAAAGTATAACACTGTATTCTATGGTACTGTTATGTGCTGTTCCCTCCCCATGACAAATAATTGAAAAATTGACTAAGCTCCTCTTGTTCCCAAGAGGAACTTGGTCATGGTTGGTATAGAAGGATATTAATATCGTTTTCTGGCGTACTAATTCATATGATTGAGAAGAGAGCAAAATAAACAATTTGGAAGTATGTTTTCATTGACTTAAGCATTCAATTTCCTGTTTTCATAGATTCATTCAAATTTAGTCTCTTTGGAAAAGATAGAAATAACCTGCGCATTTCAATTGACAGTAATTGACTGCTGGTTAATTTAACTCGTGAATATTCACTGTGTAGATCTTATAAATCTAAAGTGCCTACTAAAGGTAATTTTAAAGTCCATAAGTAATCATGCTATGTCACCAAACTGAATAACAATCGAAAGAGAACATGAATATTGTTTTCTGCATTTGTAATGCTAAGAAAAATCATTCCTCCTTACTTTGACAAAACCCAAACAGTGAGAAACCTAATTACAGGACTCAAGGAATCCTCAGTAAAGGTAGCTTTTCCAAACTTTGAAGTTACTCTGCTTAACTTTTTGAAGCATATTTTGCTTGTTGGACACAATGCCTTTAATTGTTTTATTTAAATATATAATTAAAATAACAAATGACAGGTGTATGACTGCTACATTTGAGCATAATATGGCTTGAGGAATTGCAGACTGGGTTTGATTAGCTATGGGACGAACCCTGCTCTTCCGAAGTGCCTGCTACATGATTCTTCTCCCTGAATGCACCGTAGCTGGCTTTCTTGCCAGTCCCTTTTTCCTTCTGCTTCTTCCCCTTGTTCTTAACCAAAAGTGTCTTGCTGCTGACTTGGAAACCCTGCAAAAACAAGGGATCCGAGAGGATCTTTATGCTGACTTGCACCAATTACAGGCATCTGTTTGCAAAACAAGAACTATGAACCGCATAATTCAGACAGATTCAGAGTTTTCAACTAGTTTTTTTGAGGGGGAAGTGTTCTCTTCCCTGATTACAGATCTGAGAGTACACAAGGGGAATAAGCATGCCCTTTGGAAAGGGATATGTGTCTGTTTGCCCGTGCATGTTGAACGTGCCATTGCTTGCTCTAGTGCCATAAGAGAAGGACACTGTTTGTGACATGGTTGTATATCTTGTCAAATTCTTCTGTACATCTGTGCAATTGGACTTTTTTTTTTGCCTTTTATAGGAATGCACCAAGCCGGTCTCTGAGGTTAGACACAGAATTCCCATTACGTTACATTAGAGTCATAATCTTTAGGGAGAGTTGTTGCTTTCCATGACTCTGCAGTGTCCTCTGAAGTGGCATCTGATGCTGGAATGAGGTGCCTGAGTGGTACCACAGCATAAATTACTAATAGCAAAGATCGCTGGAAGGATCATGATGATTTGTCAACTAATCCTCGGTGGCATGCTTGGCTCCTTTTTTTTTTTTTTTTTTCTTTTTCTGATACATCAAAACTGCTCAAAGTATTGGAAAAAAACTTTTACACAAGGATTTAAGTAATACATTCAAGAAGATATGGCACATGTTCTGATGATAACCTGTGTGTTGGCATAAGCAAGGCTATCTAAAAGATATTTTACTAGTTGTCTGCATTGTCACTCTTAGGACATGCAAAGGCCGACTCTGCACAGTTCACTCCACTTTGGGAGCCGTGTGCTCTGTAAATTCACACCTTAGCAAACTGTGCAGCCAGGCCCTAAAAGCTCCCAAGTACCACTTAACTGTGAGGTTGAATAAATCCTTATTGCTTGAGTATTTCTCGTATAAAACCTTAAAAGTAGTTCTTGGAAGAGATTGCAAGCCAGGATGCTGAATGAAAATAAAAACTGCCAGAACTGGTGAATTATCAGACTCACTAATATTGTGTTAGATGTGCATCTTGGCATCTTCTAAGAAATTCTTTTTCTTCTCTCTTTACTTCATCTGTTCCTAGGTTTAACTTAACTGCCAGAATGTATAATGATTGCAGAGCAGTGATATCCAGTTAGTTAACATTCTTATATCTTCAGAGAAGTAACTAGCAAGTATAGAAGCCTGTGCTCATCCCCATAATCCTAAGAAAATCAACCAGTGTTTTGGCTTCTGCGAGTGTAAAGAGGAAAGGTTTTAGCTGTTTTCAAAGACTGCAATGAGCTTCTTGATAGCCAGTGTGCTTGGCCACTGTATTTTCAGGCAGATGTACAGTTGCGTGTTCTGTGATGTAGAAGAGCATAGGCCTGTTTGGAAAGGAGGAAAGCAGTTTGTAGGAGAACCTGGCGGGGAGATGGCTACAAGGAAACTTTAATGTAAACACACCATGAAGGCAAAAATCCGGTGTGGAGGTGGTTTTGTTTTCCTCTGCGTAGTGCACAATGAAACAGTTATCCTAAGCGTGGTGGTAATGCAGGCAGTAAACGAGATTTCTGTCTAGTTTGACCTATGTGGTGCAGATCTTGTCCAATAAAGCACTGGAACTGTCTTGTAAAGAGTGACGAGGTTTCAACTCCTGTAGAAAGATCCTCGTAGATTGTCTCTTTCCAGGCTGTGCAGAGCATAGAGCTTAATTTGCTCTTCACATACTCTGTGTGTCCATGTGTTGTTTTGACCCCTGCCCTTCCACCCCTATCAGCCAAGCATGGAAAGTGCTTGATGTTTACTGCAGCATGTGCCATGTTTGAGTCCCTCCTTGCCTTTTCTGGAGTCTTCTTGATGTTCTTTTGCTTGTTAATACACTAGTGCCAGTGGGAATTTCATCGTGCATTTCATGGGACTTTAGTGGCTGCATTAAGCACAGTAATTGTGGTTAGCTTTACATGTGAAGTTAGCACAGCTTATTACTTTATTAATACTGTAAAAAAATCTTTCTAGACCCTTTGCGTTCACAGGTCAGCATATATCACAACATATTTTCATCCTTTTCTCATTAAAACTGTTTTGGTAGATGATGTCTCAGGCTGAGGGCCAGCAGAGAGACTTGATCAGGAGCATTGAATGCCTTCCTGTCTCCGGTCACCTTACATCCTTGGATCAAGACCTATTAATGCTCAAAGCAACTTCCATGGCAACCATGAACTGCTTAAATGACTGCTTCCATATTCTCCAGTTACAACATGCTTCACAACAAAAGGGATCCTTACCTGCAGGTGGGTGGAGATGCTCACAAAGATATGAATTCTCTAACAGTTATGAATCCTATACTTCCTCACCTACAAAATGCTAAATCAAGCTTCTCATAGGTGGAGCAAACAGCCTGGCTGCTTGAGAGCTTTTTTTCAGAGTTGGACTTCTTGGTGGTTGTTTGAACTGCTGAACTTATTTTTTTCATCATTTTCTCTATTCTTTCCTGCCCAGTATACACATGTTCCCTGCCTCTCCTTTCCCCTTCCCCATTTAAAATTTATTTGTGAGTCTGGTAAAATTCTACTCAATGTGTTGAGAAAGTGCTTGCCAGGCTTAAAATGTAAGGATTTTAAAAAAAAAATGCCAATTTGCTATGAATTCTTAGAACCAAAAGTAGAAGAGTATGTATTGCCCTAGCTGCACCAGTGTGCCCTAAATGACAGACTTCCAAGATGATTGGAAAACTTGACTTGAACTTAGGAAAAGCTAAAAGTGAAAACATATACTTTATTAGAAAGTACTCCATTATCTCGAAGGCAGATTGCAATAATGGTTTGCAACTCTTTTAAAGAAGAAAAAATTGAAAAGTGAAGGTGGCTAGAAAAGCAGAGATGAATCTGTTGTAGCAGAACAAAACTGCTGGCAACTGAGCAAAGAAGTATTTCCCCTAAGAGTGTTCATTCCATGAAGATCACTCATAAAGAAAATAGTTTTTTTTTTCCTACTTGAAATAGTCAAGAGCAGATTTGAATATGGTCTTCTAGCTGAGAGAAGAACATTAGTGGGGAAAAATTGCTCATTCACAAAGTTTAAAACACAACAATTTTTAAAAGTCTTACCACTTTTAAAACCCTTTCTAAACTTAGTAATGAAAATTAAGCAGGATTTAAAATAGCTTTCTTTAAATGTGTCTGAAAGGAGAGAACTCTTGCCAAATTAGCCAAATGGATAGCCAGCCAACGTGGAGTAAATGCAGTCTGCGGCAGGTAATTAGAGGTTATGTTGTCATTTGCAGTTGAAAAGGCACATAGTACTTGCAAAGTGATTTTACATTTGATGAAAACCTTTTCAAAAAGGTAAGCAACAGTGAAATGCTGACCTTCTATTTCCTGAATTCCCCGGAGCTCTTATTTAAATGGCTAAATAATAATAAAAAAGTTACAATTGTGCACTGCACAATTCTGAGGATCACTATGTTAACGGATTAATGATGAACAGACTTTAAGGAAATATCTTGCCAGGGAAAAAGTTGTCTAGCTCTGTTCATAAAACTGTG